GATCACATGATTTTTCTTCTTCACCATGTTGATGTAATAGATTACATCAATTGATTGTCAAGGTTGTACCAGTCTTGCATAGGTGGGATAAGTTCTACTTGGTCATTTTATATAATTCTGTACATTTGTACATTGCTTAATTCAATTTGCTAGTGTTTTGTTGAGAATTTTTGCATGTATGTTAATGAGAGATAATTGCCTGTAGTTTTTCTTTCTTGTAATGTTTTTATTTCTGTTAGAGTAATGCTGTCCTCACAGAATTAGTTAAGAAATATTCCCTCTGCTTCTGTTTTCTGGAAGAGATTGTGGAGAGTTTGTATAATTTCTTCATAAATGTTTGGTAGTATTATTCAGTGAGTCTGTCTGGGCCTTGTGCTTTCTGTTTTAGGAGGTTATTAATTATTGATTAATTATTTGAATACATATCTGTCTTTTGGCCTGTTTTAGGAGGTTATTAATTATTGATTAATTATTTGAATACATATCCCTCTTTCTTTTTTTGAGTTGGGGTTTTGCTATGTTGCCTGGGCTGGTCTTGAACTCATAGGCTCAAGTGATCCTGCCACCTCAGCCTCCTGAGTAGCTGAGATAATAGGCATGCATTACCTGTTTCTTCTTGTGTGACTTTTGGTGGTTTCTGTCTTTCAAGGAATTGGTTTGTTTTATCTAGATTATCAAATTAATGAGTGTACAGTTTTATAGTATTTCTTTATTATTCTTTTAATATCCATGGGATCAGTAATGATGGCCCCTCTTTGTTTCTGATATTTATTCTCTCACCCTCTCTCATCTATCCTGGCTAGAGGTAGAGGTTTATCAATTTTATTGACCTTTTCAAAGATTAAAGAACTGGCTTCTGGTTCCATTGCTGTGTTTCTATTGATTTTGTTTTTAATCTATTGATTTCTGCTCTAATTTTATTTTCCTGTACTTCAGATTTAATATGATTACATATTCTTTCATCTCTTAGCATCTTAGTTATACTTTTTAAAAAAAAAACTTTTAAAAATGATTCCTCTAGAATTTGTAATATACATTTTTTTTAGTATAGTTTATATGGTGAAACCCTGTCTCTACTAAAAATACAAAATTAGCCGGGCGTGGTGGCACACGCCTGTAGTCCCAGCGTAGTCCCAGCTACTCAGGAGGCTGAGGCAGAAGAATCACTTGAACGCAAAAGGCAGAGGGGCTGAGGCAGAAGAATCACTTGAACCCAGGAGGCAGAGGTTGCAGTGAGCCAAGATCATGCCACTGCACTCCAGCCTGAATGACAGAGGGAGACTCCGTCTCAAAAAAAAAAAAAAGGATATGGGGATATGGCTCCCCTCTTCCTTCCCCTTTTTTCCTGTTCCCAGTATTGATGAAAGACAGGAAGTGATTTTAATTGGAGATTTTTTCAAATCAAACTTCACTAATGGAATTCATTCTGGATTTTTTTTTTTTAAGACAGGGTTTTGCTCTCTTGCCCAGGATGGAGTGCAGTGGCTTGATCTTGGCTCACTGCAGCCTCAGCCTCCTGGGCTCTGGTGATCCTTCCACCCTGCGTCACCAAGCCCAGCTAATTTTTTGTATTTTTTGTAGAGATGAGGTTTCTCCATGTTTCCCAGGCTGGTCTCAAAATGGAATGTTATTTTGAAAGCAGTAGTTTTAATTTAGGCAAAATGGGGCAAAGTTTAACATAATTCTGGTCTTATTTTGTAATAAAGACTGTTAATATATGATGAGATGTAGTAGAACAACAGCTTATGTGACTTCAAGGATGCTGTTGTATGTTCTTTTTGTTTGACACAGAAGCTCGGAATTATATTTTCTTCTTTAACATATTTTTGGGACCAAAGTAAGTATAAGTGACATTGATTAGATAGTTTTTCTTTTTCTCTTGCATTTCCCTTTACTGAGAAAGTAGTAAAAATGGCACTTGACATATAACTAGCAGATTTTTGTTAGTGTGCAAGACAGTTGAAGGAAGGGAGATTTGGGGTTTGTTTTGGAGTAATCTTGGGGAAATACTGGAACATCCGCAAGGTATTGTTCTTTATATCTAGGAGATGAACATGTTCATATTCATGAGATTGGCAGCAACTGAATTTTCTCTAGTCTGTTTTTCTTAGTCCTTTTGTAATAGTGATGGGTGGATTTACCCCTGCCTTTCCATTGGTAATTCTATAGAAATAAAGACTTAGGAAAATACTTTCTCTGTGTGAGGATCCTTTGTCAAAGACTGAAAAGACTAGAGGGTGGCATTTAATTCTGCAGAATATAGGTCATGGTACTTAGTTCCTACAGATAGGACTTAGCAGTATATCCAAATACTTTATTCCTTAAGAAACAATTTTTTAGCCAGTGAATGCACTTTTAATTGGAAGATCTTGGTTTTCTCAACTGTTTACCCCTAATAATTCAGAGCATGATATGGGATATTTTGGAGAAATGTATTCATATTTTAGTTAGGTTTAATCTTTTGGGTAAAGTAATAAATTATATACATGGAGCATGATTTACCAGGGGTATAAAAATTAATGTAAGACTAATTCCAGTTTCCTCATATATACTGGGAATATATAGCTCTTTTATCTATTTATTTTGAGAGAAGGAAGTATATTTCTGTACTCAAATTCAAATCCCTTTTTTCTATTAACTCACAGACCTTTTTTTTTTTTTTTTTTTACAGTTTTCTTTATCTTCATGCATCAGGGCAGTCAGGGCATGAGTAAATGTTTAAGGTTAAGGAAGCAGAAAGTTTTTTTAAGTTCTAGAAAAAATTAAAATTGAAAAAAATAAATTTGAAAAAGTAGATTTGTGACATGAAAGAAACTATGACTTTATCAAGTGTTATTAAGATAAGCTTAGCCTTATCATGGCAGTTTATTGTTCTCTTATTAGTAACTCCTACTCTCAGCAGTGCTGATACAATTAGGTTATGACTGATCTCCTTTGTGAGCATAATTTAATTTCACTTCCCCCCAGGAAGTGTGTTTCCTCTAGTAAATGAAGGAGTTTTAGAATATAGGTATAAGATCGTTGGTAACTGGAGGGATAGAAGGAAAGCAGAGGATAGATAAGTTGTAGAAGGAAAGCAGAGGAGTAGATAAGTTATATGATTTGAGAATCCTTGTCTAGGAGACTATTGGATTGAAGTCCATGAAAAAAGAAAGAAAAATATAATTGGCCATTAAATATTTCTAGAGACCTGTTTTGCTGGGCATAGAAAAGTAAGCCCATGATGTTTTTTATTTTTAGTACCTAATTTTTCTTTAATCTTTATTGAAATCCTATTGTTCTTAATTGAAAGTCCTTCATTATTTTTATCTAATACTGAAATATAAAAATTAAATTCAGAATAATCAAAATGTTAAAAATAGTTGAGATGTCAAACTTGAAATATTCTCATTCAAAAATAAAAGCCAAAAATAAATAAGTAGGCTCTTCAGCCATTATCATTTAGTCCTCAGGGTAATTGGTGAAAAGTAATCAAGTAAAAGTCGTGTTAATAATAGTAGCTCTCATTAATATGTCCTGGGCACTATACTCAGTCCTTAATATGCATTTCCTCAGTAATTCACGTAAACCCAGATTTGACATGCACTTTTATTATTTTCATTGTTTCATAACAAAATTGATAGACAGTGAGGAACCCAGGTTTATCTGACCCCCCCAGAGCTAGAGAGGATAACAGCTTCTGGTTTCTGAGTACAGAGTCAGCTAACATATTGTATGCTTTGTTGCTTTGCAAAATTCAATATAATAATAATGGCCAGAATGGAAATCTATCCAGCCTCTTTTCCTTTTTTGTATTCTCATGTCTTTCAGAACTTTCAACAAGTTTATATAGCTTTTCATGCTTACCTTGATGTTTAGTGGTAGCTAGTTCCTTTTAGTTGGCTAAATAAAAAGCCCTTAAAATCTAGGTTCGAAATCTAAACTCTTTATGAGCCAGTTGGTTTTAACTCATTTTGTGGTCAGAGCCTCTGTGCATGTTTGATTGATTACAAGTGAAACTAGTCATAGCTCAAGAGAATCGTCACATATTTATGACACCACTAGTGTTCACTGTAGTATGGTAACTGTTTTTAGAATTATGTCATGATCTGAAAAGACTGTAATTGTTGTGTCAACCTGAGGAAACTTATCTGTTTTTGTGGGCTTTCTGTAATAGTGTTTATCTGTCATTTATGGCTTGGAAATTTAATACTGTGCGAGAGCCTGGTCTAGGCAATTATAGAAGATAGAAAGTTTTCCTTTGAAAGTTAAAATGTAGGAAAGTTGTTAAATGTTAGTCAAGAATAAGTAATACAGTAAAAACCATAAAGAAATAAAACAGAAGAGAGGCAAAAACTAGAAAAAAAAAGTCATTTAAAGGGCTAAAGCAGACATGCTTAGAAGGTACTTTTGATTAGACATACTTTTGAAAATCTAATTTTCTACTTTCTAGAGCTTATTTTTCTAATTGCCTTAGGTTTTAAGATGTACATGTATATTGTTTTCTTGCTCTTCTCCCCTCTTTTGTTTCTGTTATAGATGGGTATGTTTGTCACCTGTGCCTAGAAGAAATTCTTCTAGCTTGGCCATTAGGATATAATGTTTGAGCTCACCTGATTTGGAGGGGGTAGTTGAAACTACCACTTCCTTTGTAACTGCAAGACCATTTAGTTTTCACATGTTATCTTTAATGTTAGCAAAGTATGTGTTTTATATAGTGTTTTCTGTATAAAAAACTATAATTTCTGTTCACTAAGTTGAATCTACATGGAATAGTCTATGAAATAAACCTTACATCATTACCAACTAGTTCGATGTAGTAGTGAAAATCATTCATGGGTATTTCACTCTAGTTTGATATATAAATCTCTTGGATTTGCAGCATGGAGTGGGGAAGAAATCCTAATTATAGTTCTCTTTTCCCAGTTTAATTTCTCCTCTTTTTTTTTTTTTTTTTTTTTTTTTTGGCTGTTTTTTCTCAACTGTCAGTGGAATTATTGTCTCCCTGTCTCCATATTTAGGTAGTGTCAGTGGCTGAGTATCACCGCAGGATCGATGCTCTAAATACTGAAGAACTGCGCACACTCTGCAGACGCCTCCAGGTGCCCCCTTCAGTAGTTTCAACCCCTCCAGAGACTGAATACTCCCTGTTTTTAGTGTTCTTTGTCATGGCAAATCTCATTTGAAGAATTTGCTTTGACTGCAGCACTAAAATTAAGTTCCTTTTTGTATTAAAGGTTATAGTATTGCCTTGAAGAGCTATGGATTATCTTTTCTGTCATCTTTTCATTTGAAAAATATTCTGAAGAATGTTCTGTCACTTTAGAATTATTCTCAGTATTGTGTGTTTCTTGCAGCGATGAGGAGTTTTCATTCATTTAACATTGGAAGAATGGTGTTGGTTTCGAGATTGAATCTTTTCTAAACAAAACCTGAAAGATATGGTACTATAGGAAAACTAAAAAAAAAAATTAATAGCAAGGCTTAAATATTTTCTTTAAGGCTATTTCATTTGTATCAACGTCACATCACATATCTCAATATGATAAACTGTTCTTGAGGCATTCTTGGTTGGTATTAGGAGTACATTGGAATAGTACAGTTTAGATACAGAACTGGATAAATTACTTAAAATTCTGTGAAATAATCTTTGTGATTTTTTTAGATACAAGAAAGCAATGCAATTGAAAACTTATTTTTCAGTTTTGTCTATTATACTGTGTTTCTTTCTTCTTAATAAGATATGCTTTCATGGCTTTGCTAGACCTACTGAATTTTTTTCTTTTAATGCTTCTAATGCTGCCTTGGGTTTCTTTTTCTTTTTCTTTTTACCTTTCACATCATCAAAATAAAGGTGAAACACGATGATATGAAAGAATGAGTATTTAACTTCTTGTCAAAAAACAATACAGTTATAAAACATGTATTGGTTGCAAATATATGCTGCTCAGGTTTATTAAGAAACCTGTTAAAGGAACAAAATAATTTAGCAAAAATTTCATTCCCGTGTAGAATCACAGTTGCCAAGCATTGCTGCATTTTAGTTATCTGCTCCAATAAAATTCTGCATATTTTCCAATTTAAAAGTTTCATAAATAATAGTTACGTTTCATTTATTTTATTTTCTAATGTTATGTTTTATATATTAAAATAAAATTAATATTAAAAAGTAAGCACCAATAGAATATATCGTGTGGTAGTAAGCTTTATTTTTAGTTAGTTAACATTTTTTTCATTTTAAGAATACCAGTGAAATCATTTCCACCAATCAAAAGCATATATTCTTTGTAATGCAACGCAATAATCTAATTTTAAAAATAAATTTATGAACAAATTAACAGTAAAATGTATTGTTTGGTCCAACTAGATGAAAAAAATTAAATGTTTAGAAAGTTAAAAAAATGAAAGCATTTAAAAAAAAGTGGTAACATTTTTCAGTGAAACAAATAAATACATGCACACCTCACAGAAAATAAAGTTATATTTTTTATTCTACTATTCTTTACATTAAAATTTTGGCATCCAGGAAGTTTTGTTAATTATTTTTGACAAATTTTGTGTTTAGCATGAAAAAATTCTATTTTAAATAGCACACATACACACACACACACAGACACAAAGCAAGCCAACTGGCTGACTTTTGCCCTTCAAGGGCTTAATTAAAGATGAATGCAACTATCTTCTTTACACAGAAATATGGGGATTTATCATTCCTACCAGTCCTTCCTCATGTACTGGATGAGAAAACGTCTGTTTATATTGTTATAAAATCTTTTTCTAAATTGGCTACATCATAGATATTAGATATGGGGCATCTTTTGCCCTATAAAATCTTAAGATTAAAGATTTAGACACATTTTCTACAATATAAAGCTTTATTTATCTGAAAAGTCTGATAATTTTGAAAGCATGTCGCAAGTTTACATTAATACACTATCTCTATTTACTTTTTTAGATTACTACAAGGGAAGACATAAATTCAAAGCAGGTTGCTCCAGTGAAAGCAGACCTGGAGTCTGAATCTTTTCGACCAAACCTAAGTGATCCCAGTGAACTTTTACTGCCAGATCAAATTGAAAAGGTATGACATGCTCACATAGGTGCATTTCTGAGTGTGAGTGTGTACCCATGAGAGTAAAACAGCCTCTTTTTAGTTGTTTCTGAAGCAACAGCATTAATGCTATTACTATCCCACTCCAATGAAAAGAAAGAGTAAGCAAAACATGGCAGCTAGTGTTAATTAAGGTGTTAGGAGATTTAGGTAAGCAGACACTAATAGCCAATATTTGTTTTATTGTTGTGTGCTTGTTACTTGCTTTATGTGAATTATTTCATGTAGTTGTTACAACAGTTGTAGAAATTAGATGCTCTTATTATGCACATTTTTTATTAAGTTAAAAAATCGGGAGCATAGAGCGATTAACTTGTTCAAGGTCACACAGGGAGAAGTATTAAAGCTTGATTCCTAACTTGGATAGTCTGTCTCCCTAGCCCATTATTTGAGAGATATTTTAATAATCAAGCTAATAGTCTATCAAGTATTTTTGTTAATTCAATATGGAAGGCAAAAGCAGTAAGTAATCTATATTTCTTATCTCTGTTCTAATCTGTGTCTGGTTCAGGATGATTCTCTATTTTCCTAATTGACAATTAATATTTTATGCTGAGAAATGTGTAATACTTTTCAATCATCTTAGTATCTTTGAGAATAATAATTTCTACTGTTAATTTATTTTTATAGCCTACATTATATAAGCACCATTAAATTCCAGCTGGCAATAGTATTCTATATAATGAACAACAAGCTATCAAGTAAATACTAACACTTTGTTTTTTAAAGCTTACCAAGCATCTTCCACCAAGAACAATTGGCTATCCATGGACTCTTGTTTATGGTACTGGAAAACATGGCACAAGCTTGAAAACTCTTTATCGAACAATGACAGGTTTAGACACCCCAGTGCTGATGGTGATTAAAGACAGTGATGGACAGGTATGAAACACTAACTGCATAAATCGCTTATCCTTTAAGAGCAGTAACAGTAACTTTTAGCATATTTCTTTGATAAACATTACTTTATTAGTACATTTTATTATTTAACTGATAATTACTGGGTTCTTTAAATATGCAAGGCAATGTTGAGTGTTACAGAGGATAGATATGAGCATGATGATTAAGAATTACTGCCTTCAAAGGGATTATAGAGTGGTAGAAAAGAACGTTTGCACATACCAATATCTCTAATGCTGGGAAAACTGGTAGGTTTGTTAGAACCTAGAAAAAGTGAGGAAATAAGAATGAGGTTCATGGGAAAGGTAGAAATTGGCAGAATCTTGAATAATGGGTAAAGTTTTGATTAAAAATAATTGTTTGAAGGTGATAGCCAGAACAAAAGCACAAATAAGAGTAATACTGGTTTGTTCCTCAAACAGCAAGTTCAAGTCAGTTGTAATTGGAAACTAATGAGAAGGTAAAATAGCAATATTAAAACAAAACTCTAGTATTACTAACACCTTTAGTGTTTTATGTGTCAGGAACTTGACTAATCACTTATGCATTATGTTATTTAATCATGAAAGCCCTATGAGATTGATACGGTTATCATCTTTATATTAAAGAATGAGTCAACTGTGACATAAGCTCATCAACTTGTCCAAGGTTACATACCCAAGAAAAAGTATTTGCACCAATGAAAATGAATGAACTGCTGCTACATGCCATGGCGTAGATGAATGTCACAAACATAATATTGAATTAGAAATCAAACACCAAAGAGTAACTTTCTTATGATTTCATTTATAGAAAGTTTTATCAGGGGGCCAAATGAATCTATAGTGGTGTTAGGCTAGTAACTCCTTCAGGTAGGTGAGCCTATTGATGAGAAGAAGCACAAAGAGAGCTTCTAGAACTCGTGGTGTTCTGTTTCTTGGTCTGAATGAACGTTGCATGGGACTTTGCTTTGTGATAATTCTAAACTGAGCTATGCATTTATGTTTTGTGTACTTTTCTATAATATATATATAAAATAACCTTTCAATAAGGAAATATTTTCAAATTTAAGACTATAAAGATAGAATGTCAGGATAGACAGTGACTGTACGGATTATCTGTCAGATTGTCTGCGCTTCCATTTCTGATGTAGAAACTTCAACTCATAACACTGAAATTACTTGGTCAATCTCTTATTCATCAATTTTTTCACTAGGGTACTGTGTGTCTTGTATAAGATCATGCACAGGGTTAAAGGACAAAATAATTCACACATAACACATGCCCTCGTGGAATTTACTGTATAATGATAGAGAAAAAAATAGCATATTTTAAAAGTGATAGAATGTTTCCCTATAGTGAAGGACTTATTTTATTAAGCACCACAATCCCATAGCATCATGTTATCCATTTCATACATATGTTGTACATATAAGTCCTCCTGAAATGTGTTAACTACTTTAAGATTGTCTATTTAATTACTTTAAATAAAATCCCAAAATTTAAAAACTAGGAAAAAATCTGTTTTTCTGCTGAAAAACCAATATGCTTTATATTTGACAATAATGTAAATTATATAACAGCTAGCCATTTTTCCCTTTTTAAGTATGGTTAGATGAAACTATACCAGATTTATCTTTTTTGCATTTTATTTAAACGTATATGATGAAATAATGCTTACTGAAATAAATTTGTTAGTCATGTCATTGAACATGCCTTTTTTATCCTTAGGTTTTTGGTGCATTAGCATCTGAGCCATTTAAAGTGAGTGATGGCTTTTATGGTACTGGAGAGACCTTTGTTTTTACGTTCTGTCCAGAGTTTGAGGTAAGGACCCCTATTTCAATATTTTGTTTATAAAGAAATGGCATAACATACTGCTCAAAGCAATTTATAGATTCAGTGCTATTCCCATTAAACTACCATTGATATTCTTCACAGAATTAGGAAAAACTATTTTAAAGTTCATATGGAACCCAAAAACAGCCCAAATAGCCAAGAAAATGCTAAGCATAAATAACAAAGCTAGAGGCATCACGTTACCCGACTTCAAAGTGTGCTACAAGGCTACAGTGACCAAAAGAGCATGGTACTGGTATAAGAACAGACACATAGACCGATAGAACAGAATAGAGAACTCAGAAATAAGACCACACACTTGTAACCATCTGATCTTCGACAAACCTGACAAAAATAAGCAATGGGGAAAGGATTCCCTATTAAATAAATGGTGCTAGGAGAACTGGCTAGCTATGTGCAGAAAGTTGAAACTGGACCCCTTCCTTAAACCATATACAAACATTAACTCAAGATGGGCTAAAGACTTAAATGGTAAAACCCAAAATTATAAAAACCCTAGAAGAAAATCTAGGCAATACCATTCAGGACATAGATACGGGCAAAGATTTCATGACAACAATGCCAAAAGCAGTTGCAACACAAGCAAAAATTGACAAATGGTATCTAATTAAAGAGCTTCTGCACAGCAAAAGAAACTATCCTTAGAGTGAACAGACAGCTACAGAATGGGAGAAAATGTTTGCAGTCTATCGTGTGACAAAGGTCTAATATCCAGAATCTACAAGGAACTTAAGTGAATTTGCAAGAAAAAAACACCACTGAAAAGTGGGCGAAGACACTTTTCCAAAGAAGACATACATGCGGCCAACAAACCTATGAAATAAAGCTCAACATCACTGATCATTAGAGAAATACACATCAAAACCACAATGAGGTACCATCTCACACCAGTCAGAATGGCTATTATTAAAAAGTCAAATAACAACAGATGCTGGCAAGGTTGCAGAGAAAAAGGGAATGTTTTGTTTTGTTGTTGTTGTTGAGATAGAGAGTCTTGCTGTTTCGCCCAGGCTAGAGTGCAATGGCATGATCTCAGCTCACTGCAACCTTTGTCTTCCAGGTTCAAGCAATTCTCCTGCCTCAGCCTCCCAAGTAGCTGGGATTACAGGTGTACACCACCATGCCCAGCTAATTTTTGTATTTTTCGTAGAGACGGGGTTTTGCCATATTGGCCAGGCTGGTCTCAAACTCCTGACCTCAGGTGATCCACATGCCTCGGCCTCCCAGAGTAGTGGGATTACGGGTGTGAGCCACCATGCCCAACCGGAAGAGGAATGTTTTTACACTGTTGGTGGGAGTGTAAATTAGTTCAACTATTGTGGAAGATAGTGTGGCAATTCCTCAAAGACCTAGAGGCAGAAATATCACTTGACCCAGCAATCCCATTACTGGGTATATACCCAAAGGAATATAAGTACTCCTAATATAAAAATACATGCACACAAATGTTCATTGTAGCACTATTCACAATAGCAAAGACATGGAATCAACCTAAATGCCCATCAATGATAGACTAGATAAAGAAAATGTGGTACATATACACCATGGAATACACCATATACACCATGCAAATTAATGCAGGAACAGAAAACCAAACACCACATGTTCTCACTTACAGGAAAGAGCTGAATGATGAGAACACATGGACACATTTCAGGGGAACAACACAGACTTTGTGTCTATTGCAGGGTGAGGGTGCGGGGAGGGAGAGAAGAGCATCAGGAATAATAGTTAGTGGATGCTGGGCTTAATACCTAGTTGATGGGATGATCTGTGCAGCAAACCACTATGGCACACATTTACCTATGTAACAAAGCTGCGCATCCTACACGTGTACTCCTGAACTTAAGTTGAAGGAAAAAAAAGAAAGATGGCATAAATGAAAAAAACATGCACTTTCGAGTCATGCACAGTTGCATTTGACCCCTATCTTTGCCTTTTACTCCCTGGTAGCTTAACTTTTCTTTGACCATTTTGAACTTCAACTTTCCTGTAGATAGAATGAGGAATCATAAAATATGACATGGTCATTTAATAATTAAATGAGGATCATTTATATATAATACTTGGGATGGCACCAGACACAAATTATGGACTTAGTAAAGAATATACATTATCATTACTATTCTGTTTATAAATTGTCATTGTGAAATTTCCAGAAACATTTAATGACTAAGCTTAATGATGTAAGTCATGAAAGTATAAAAAATAAATTATTTGGATTTAAATAAAAAGTTATGAACTGGTTTCTTTTTCTTTACCTGTGTGGCTTTACTGTGCCTTGACTAACATAGATGGAATACATTCTTATGCTAATAAAATCTAAAATGTAAAGATATAAATGAATTTTAGTGAATGTGTGACTATTCTTAAAACATTGAGTGCAATATTAGTATCTCGGGCACATTGGAGTGTGGCACGTAAAACCTTCATTTTAATCTCAAGAAAAGGAATCAACACCATTGGTTATAAAAATAAATGAACAAAATAGGAACGATTTGGTTACACAATAAAAAGTCTTTTAGCAAATTTGTACTTAACTAGGTCACCAGAATAACCAATGCTTTTGATTCCTTCCATAAAATATATCAACTGATAGCAACAACTAATTGAAAGCTTGTAGTTATTACAGATTTTCTAAGCATCAGTAGTGCCTATTCTCACACTTTTTATGTTACTGCTACCTGATAAGTGTAATAATGTAGTCAATTAAATGTTACATAACTATGAAAAACAAGTGTTAAAGTTTTATTGAAAACTGTAGTGAACACATTTGAAAAACTTGATAAAGGTAAGTTGCTAGAAATTGCTACTATGATAGGTTTAGGTAAAACACCCATAAACTGTTAGAAAAAGATATTTAAGAGTATTAATGTCTAGTTTGCTTTTGGATTTCTCAAATGATTTTAAGTTCTCACTGTTTAAAGAAGTTGAAACTGGAAATCATAAATACCCATTATGGGCGTGGTTTATTTAAGAACTATGATCATTAAATATATATCCAAAGTAAAGGCCTTGGCCCTATGTTAAAATATTATCAAATTAACATACATTTATGTTTAATGGTAAAAGTTAATGCATTTGTGTCTGATTTTTTTTCAACTCATTTACTTCTTTCTTCAGTTTTTTCTTTTTTTTTTTTTTTTTTTTTTTTTTTGAGACGGAGTCTCACTCTGTGGCCCAGGCTGGAGTGCAGTGGCTGGATCTCAGCTCACTGCAAGCTCCGCCTCCTGGGTTTACGCCATTCTCCTGCCTCAGCCTCCCGAGTAGCTGGGACTACAGGCGCCCGCCACCACGCCCAGCTAGTTTTTTGTTTTTTTAGTAGAGACGGGGTTTCACCATGTTAGCCAGCATGGTCTTGATCTCCTGACCTCGTGATCCGCCCGTCTCGGCCTCCCAAAGTGCTGGGATTACAGGCTTGAGCCACCGCGCCCGGCCCTTTCTTCAGTTTTTTCTATTTACCATCCAACTCTTGGTGTCTGTAAGTCAGGAGAAAGAAGTGTGTGTGAAAAGTTAACAAAATTTGAGAAATTGGAATTGAAAGTTAAGTGATAGAGTGTGTGCTTTCAAATTTAGTCATATAAACACTGAAACCCAAACCACCAGAGCCTTCTGTGCCAAGCTTTTTGTGGTGTTCTTATTCCTATACTGTCAATCTTGGCTTTGTTAACTCTTTTGAGTTTTGGAGAACTAACTCTGTATAATAACTATTTCATCTATATATTTAAAGCTCTTTTTAAATTTATATAGGTCTTTAAGTGGACAGGAGATAATATGTTTTTTATCAAAGGAGACATGGATTCACTAGCTTTCGGTGGTGGAGGGTAAGTCTCTTGGACATTTCATTATGAGATTTTTGAAGAATTTTAAAATGCATTTGGATTAGTTATAAATTCAGTCATCTTTAGAAAGTTTTGACATTAGAATTCAAATTTATATATTATGAAAATGAAAGTATATTTGCAAGAAGGTGCTCTAGTGTAGTTATTGAAACTATTGGTAGAGTATTTGTTTCTTCATTTTAAAATACTGTTCAGTTTATTCACTGTTTATTAAGACCCATCTTTTTCTTTAGAGCATAGTGGCCCTTTGATAATTTAAAGGGAAATATCTCAGTACCTTTGAACTTCTCTAATTTTTAAATAACTGTGATGGAATATTACTGTATTTCTCCCAATGCATAGAAGAAGTCCAATTGTTTTCATGTTATTCTACTCTGGAGACCATTTGGAATGATATTTTAGGCAATAATAGAAATGGATATTTCTGTAGAAAATTGTAGGGACCCCTCAAGTTTTCAGGGGTTTTTTGCTTGCTTGTTTTTAACAATTATGAATCAGACAATAATATGATTTTTTTGGCATTGCAAGTGCTGTGAGGAACTTTGTTTTTCATTTGGTATCCCAGCCTCCTTTAATCTTGACAGTGTTGGGAGGTAGGCTGCTCTGGTCCCACCTAGCCTGGGCTTAGCAAGCATCAACTCCTTCCTTTGGTATTTCTGTCTTTCATTATTAGACATGGGTATGCTAAATAATTTTCAGACTTGTAAAAGTGTTACAATATTTGTACCCCACAGTTGAGGATACATAATGATAATTTATTCAGACCACCAAAGAATATTCATCATCCCGGGTTATTCTATTATTAACAAATTTTCTTACAACTTCTCTATAAGTAGGTGTGGGGGATATAATTAGGGCGATTAAAAAGTGATCATGGTTATTGTAGACTTCTCTGTTAGTTTTAGCTGTTGAACTCAGCATATATTTACATGGTCCAATTATACTTTTTGAGGGGGTATCTATCATTCAGCCCTCCCCAAAACAGTAGTCTTACATGTGATTCTGTTAGCTCTCCAAGAGGTCCACTCAAGCTAGTGGCTTATAATTTCAAGATTTTATGGGTGCTTTAAGTCTTCAAAAATGACATATACAATGCCATTAGATGTCTGCTGGAACTAGATTTTATTGTACAACATGATTTCACCAAGCTAAAGTAATCATTGGGTTATTTGATAATAAATTAATATAAGTTTTCAGTGTTGGAAAGAGAGTACAGCTTCAGAAAGCAGAAACTACAGGGAGTTAATATTCCCGAATTCCAAAGGAAAGGCACCCCAAAAGAAAAATAATGATGTAGTGGACTTAATGTAGGCTTAGGAGTCCAATAGACCTGATTCAGATTCTCACTTCAACTTATGCTATATGTGGTATCTTGAGCAAACTCCCTAACAAATCTAAACTTTCCTTAGCTATAAATTGGAGATTAAATCAGTTTTACAGGGAGATTATAAGGAATTCACAAGGATATGATTTTTGTGCAAATCCTAGTATAGTATCTAGCATATAGTAAGTACTCAATAACTGATAACCACCTAAACTGATAGCCACCTTTACTTACTTTCTTTCATCCAACATGATCTGTTCCCTTCTGATACCAGGAAGAATTCTGCCTGCAGTATCTTTGGCTGCATGAGCTGTAAGACATTAATTAAAGATTTAGAACACTGCTTTTATTCCTTCTACTTCCTTAGCCATTCTCTTTTCAGAAAGTCATATGAATCATCTTTGAAAGCATTGCTCATATAAAAATACACTTTCTGGCTTTCCAGGTGTTTCACCTGGGACAGATCTGTCTTAAATACATTTACTTAAATATTTGGATATCACATACCCTTCTGAAATGCTGATGAAATGCAGAGACATCCATTGTCCTAAAATGAATATACAAATTAAATTTTATATGTGATATTAAGAAATTGACAAAAATATTGAAAGCTTCTACTCAGGGCTTCAGAAAGTTCAGGTTACCTTGGAAAAAATTATTCATACTTGATAATAAAACTTATTGCAGCATCAGTGACATTCATGAATCTTGAAGGTCAATTTTGAGGTACTTCTTAGATGTCATCTGAGATTACAACTAAATGTCTAATCTTTTATTAACCCTTTCATATTTAGCAAAATAAGGTTTTTGTGAGGAAGTCTGACCCTTTCATATTCTCCTTTCTAATAGGTTGGCTGTGATAGTCTATTCGCACTTTAAAAGGCTCATGGATTCAGATATCTCTTTAAAAATCATGTTGTTGCCAGTAGTGTTAGAGCCTCTAGAAGTCTATTGTCATAAGACCATAAACTTTTTAATTCAAATGCAGTTTCTAATTTATCTTTGTGTTTTCCAGTACCAATGTCTGAAACATGATAAATGTGTATTTAAAGTTAAATAAATTAGTCAAATATGAATTTCAATTTGAACCTTAACAAGTGATGGCTTCCTCATGGGGCAGGGGGCATTTTCAGGACCATCTAGTTTTTGCAGTGCTTCCGTATCACAAACTCTGGATTGTTATGATTTTCAAGGTGATCTTCCATCTTAGCAAAGTCCCATTTTTATTTACAGAAGAGGTTCATAAGAACCACATCACTGGTTATCCCATTACAGTTTTTTGTACTGTCAACTCTCTTCTTGAATGACACAGGATGATCTCTTCACCTGGTTGTTGTGAATTACCATAGTGATCCGTCTTTTCTGTTTTGTTGTGAAGTACCAACTCTTTTTTTTTTTTTTTTTTTTTTTTTTTTTGAGAGAGAGAGTTTCACTCTTGTCGCCCAGGCTGAAGTGCAATGGCACAATCTTGGCTCACTGCAACCTCTGCCTCTCAAGTTCAAGTGATTCTCCTGCCTCAGCCTCCCAAGCAGCTGGAATTACAGGCACTCACCACCATGCCCAGCTAGTTTTTCTATTTTTAGTAGAGACAGGGTTTTGCCACGTTGGCCAGGCTGGTCGCAAACTACTGACCTCAGGTGATCCCCCTGCCTCAGCCTCCCAAAATGCTGGGAATACAGGCATGAGGCATTGCACTTGGCCCCAACTCTTAAAGGAACCATTCTACGTGGTCACTGTAGCCACCCTTCTCTACTTAGAAACATATCTCTGTACTTAAAATTTATATATGTAATTAATATACATTATATATTTGATGCTGTTTTTTTATTACAGAGTATAAACAAATAGTTCCTTTCTTTCATTCTAAGATAGTGTTAAAAATAGGTCAGTTCCAGGCCAGGCACAGTGGCTCATGCCTGTAATCCCAGCGCTTTGGGAGGCATCACAAGGTCAGGAGATCGAGACCATCCTGGCTAACACAGTGAAACCCTGTCTCTTCTAAAAAATAGAAAAAATTAGCCAAGGGTGGTGGTGGGCGCCTGTAGTCCCAGCTACTCAGGAGGCTGAGGCAGGAAAATGGTGTGAACCCAGAAGGCGGAGCTTGCAGTGAGCAGAGATCGCACCACTGCACTCTAGCCTGGGCAACAGAGCGAGACTCCGTCTCGGAAAAAAAAAAAAAAATAGGTGAGTTCCTCTCCCACATAAGTCAGTTAACTCTGTGATGCCATGTGACTCCTGATGGCAAGCCTGAAGGTCAGAAGGTATTATAGCCATCCAAATTATAGAGTTGTGTAAGTCTTTACAGATTACCTAATATGCTTTTCTTTTTTTGTGTTTTTATGTAATTGACAAACTCTACCCCAGAGAGGTTAAGTGACTTAACTAAGTTTGACATAAGTTGTGGCCACTGAGTTGACAGACAAGTCTTAATCCCAGACCAGTTTTTTTTCTTTCACTGAAATATAACCGCCCATATTTTTTTAAAAACCCTCTTCCTCCTAAACTCTGGCTCCAGTCTGCTGACTTGATATCCTAGTTTAGATTTAGAGAATCCCAAGGGAAAACTCTCTGGCTATTATGTTAATTATTAGTCTTTGCTCCCTCTCCTCTTCTATTAGGTGGGGAAACATTTTCTAGAGAGTAGAAAAAAGTCCTCTCATAACCTGGTCTTTTCCCCTCCAGGTTATGTATTAGATAATTAGATAAATTGGACCTTATAATCTATCTGTTAAGTTCCTATTATACGTAGATTATATCTTGGTTCTTCTGCTTGAATCTCAGCATCACATATTTGTCCATTTAAAGTCCTTTCAAACTGAGCTCTTTTGCAAACAGCTTCCTATGCAGGAAACCAGAGTTAATTACTAGGTCCTTAACATGAATCCCCAAATTTTATTTTAGATGATACTGAGTTTTTGTGCCTTTGAGAAAGTCGTGTTAAATATGTTAAAACCATACAAAAAAGATAAACACACACATACACACACACAAAAAAAAATACTAAAAAAAATGCCCAGAGAAAAACTCGTAATACCAGGCAAAAAATCACAGAGTAGTACCTGTCTCAAAAGCTAATCCTTCATGAAGTTGATGTTAGAGGACACTGTTCCTTGGTCTGTATCATAAATATTTTTTTTTCTTTTTTTTTTTTTGGATGGAGTTTTACTCTTGTCGCCCAGGCTGGAGTGCAATGGTGCAATCTCGGCTCACCGCAACCTCTGCCTCCTGGGTTCAAGTGCTTCTCCTGCCTCAGCCTCCTGAGTAGCTGGGATTATAGGCATGTGCCAGTGCAGCTGGCTAATTTTTTTGTAATTTTTAGTAGAGACGGGGTTTCTCCATGTTGGTCAGGCTGGTCTTGAACTCCCGACCTCAGGTGATCCATTGGACTTGGCCTCCCAAAGTGCTGGGATTACAGGCGTGAGCCACCGCTCCAGGCCCATAAATAATTTTTTAATGGAATGGGAGTAAAACAAAATTGTGTCAGTGTTGAAAGGATTTGGGAAGCATTTGAGAAAATTAGTAATTTTAGGGTTGTTAGGTATTCAAAGTCTCATTTAAATTGTTTTACAACTTAGGGCATAAATATTAACAGATTATTATTTATGTATTGCAGAGGAGAATTTGCTCTTTGGCTTGATGGAGATCTCTACCATGGAAGAAGCCATTCTTGTAAAACGTTTGGGAATCGTACACTTTCTAAGAAGGAAGATTTCTTTATCCAAGATATTGAAATCTGGGCTTTTGAATAAATACAATGCTCTCTGTCTTAGCAGGAGAATGGCCCAAACCTGACATGGACAAGCATTGTTTGGAAAGTTCAAGAAGCAATACAGTGTAACATGTCACTTGTGCTTTAAAATTAGTCTGTATCACCATTTATTACAAGTATAATTTTGGAGTTTATTTTTCAAATCATGTTCTTGTCCCAGAGTTCTTTAGGTTAACACTATGAACTGCGTCCATGTACTAGTATAACAGCTTGGGTTTGTTAGAATTTGGGCAACATTTTGATTATAATGACAACTTCATTTTCACATGTTATCTCAGTTCCCTAATAGGATGGTGCTCTTTTGTTGAACCTGTATTGATTTATTTATTTTTTAACTATATTGATTCTTTTACTAGAACAGTCTAATTGGGGCATTGAGGAAGTGAAGACTAGATACTTCTGTATCTGTGAAGTTGCCACAGGTAACATTTGGACATGTTCATCTTATTCTTATGAAGGAAAAATCACATGCCAAAATAGTACATACTTCATAGACCACTGAGTTCTAGTTTTTATTCACACTACAACATTCTCTGTAACAATGTTGCAGGTAGTTTCAATTTCCTTTTAAGAAAAATGAAATTTGAGGAGAATTTTGATTGTAATAGATGACAATACACATGATCTGCAGGTTTGGGCGTATGCTTTCATCATTAAATTATCTTATAAAGTTACAAATCACAAAGGAGAATGAGAACTTAATGATTCTATTGGATTTAATATATTAAGCAAGAAAACATACTATTTACATATGTGTAGCTTAGTAAGGCATTATCATAAGTACAAAAACTATGAAACAGATGCATTTTTCCTCAACATACTGTGTCAGGTATATACTGTTTTATAATTTGGTTGTTTTAGCCTTGTTGCACACCAACTCCCAAAATATAGGTTACTCTTGTTCAAAAGGAAAAAAAAAGTGTGATTTTCTTTGAGTGGTATATGTTATTAATTACCATTAGCATTTGCTCTTATAAAGGGCAATGATTATAGTAGACAATATTGTAACTCAGTAGACTTGTTGAATATGCAAACTTACTGTCAAGTGACCTCAAAAAAAATGAAAAGATAGAATACACTAGTAGTTCTTATCCTCTTTTGTAGTAAACCAATAATAGCCATTGTGGCAATAATTCATCAGTTAATTTTAAAGCTTCATGTTATGCAAAAAAGAATCCTGCTGTTATACATGTGACAGTGACTTTGTGCTGAAATTTCAGCTATTCCAGATAAACATTGTATATCTTGTAAATTAATGTTTAAAGGTAGTTTTGTTCTTATAGAAAGTGTTGATTGCCGGGTTGCTTATAGCACTTTAAGTTATTCTAAAAATGAAATTATAAGCCAAATATTGGCTTAAGTAGATTTAGTTGTATAGCACTTAGATATTTAGTTCTTTTGAAAGTTTAGATAATTATTTAAAGAAAGCATAATGCTAATGGAAAAGAAAATCTGATGTTCTATTATAATATGCTGTTGCTGAATATGAATAGAAATACAGGGCATCATTTCCTCGTCTCATTATAAGTTAGTAACAATATATAGATTAAATGTTTACAATATAGGGAATTGTAAATAAATATATCAGTTTTTTTCCCTTTGGTCTTCCACAGCAGTATTATTGTCTTTGTGGAGTTGACTAATCATAATAAAAACATCCTGTAATGGATTTCAACTAAAATAAGGTCATAGTGGCATATACCAAATAAAATCAAATACAGAAATACAAATGAGTTTGGATTTATTGAATACTCATTTTCTTAGCAAGTCTTTGTTTGATTAAGCCTACTACTATCCCTTTTTTTTTTTTTTTTTTTTTTTTTTAATGCTTCTAATAGCTTACATTGTGGTGGTGGTCATGGTGTTAGGAGTAATAGTGATGGGAGGATGCATTCAATTAGAGGGAGCATTACATTTTTTAAAATGGAGATGGGAGAAGGCACTTGACACATGGGAAAGTGCAAGTTATTTGATATTTTTAAAGTACATTGTTTTCATTTTGAGTGGAGAATGCGTAACAAGCTAAGCCTCTTGTCATAAGCAGTTTTGTGTGTGCAGTGCCAAGAAATTTTGATATTTTGTATCCCATAGGTTCAGTTAACATTTGAGAGGAGGAGTGACATGATCAGGTGTATACTTTAGGAAAATATCTGTGAAAAGTAGATGAGTAGAGGGAAAAACTAGAGACAAAGGGAAAGCGAGCCTTTTATAAAGTCCAGAAAAAAATGATTAGGCCCGAATAAGAATAGTGGTAATGGGAGTAAGGAAGCATAGATTTGGAAAGGATTTATCAGTTAGGATGAACAGGAGTTGATTATTGATTGGATGTCAGAAAAAAGGATAGCTCTCAGGATTTTGGTTTAGGAGTTTAGATGTATTATTTATCAAGATGGGCAAGGTACATAGAAGAAAAACATACAGCAGGTAGCAAAATGAAGTTAGTCATGGACTTTATTAGAGTATGATGTGAGATACAGGAGGATAAACTTTTTGGGGGTAGGACATTTTATATATCCTGAAAGGTGAACTTTAAAAGTCAACAAAAAACAAACTCACTTTTTATATGCAAACAAATATGAAATTTATGTATTACCATTTGTAATACCATTGAAAATACCAGCTATATAACAAAGTGAAGACCCAAATAGGAAGGATATACCATTTTCATTATTGGCAGACAATATTGATTAAAAGATAGCAGTTCTCTTAAATTATATTGACAGTGAAAATCTCACCCAGGCTTATTTTTTTTGGAAATTAAACTGATTGTACAGTTTATATGGAAATGTAAAATCAAAGAATAGCTAAGGCATCATGGAGGAATTGAGTATCTGGTCTTCAGTACCAGATAATCATGATTTATTAGAAAGCTGAGTAAGAAAGACAATGTATTGGTCAAAAGTTAGAAAGACACTGATTTCTAAAAAAGGTGATACTACTGACTGCTCAGTAGAGAAGACAGTCTATTCAATAAAAGATGGTGGATTAATTGCATATCTGTATGGAACAAAAAGTCTTGACTCATCTCACACCACAAACAATTACAGATTGAAAAATAATTGTGAAAAGTAAAACAATAAAGATATTAAATTATATAGGATAATATTTTCATGACATTAGGGTAAGCATATATTTCTTTAATGAGACACAAAAAGCACTAAATATAAAGGAAAAAAAATAAAGTATGCTACATTAAAACTTTAAGCACTTCATCAAAAGACATTAAAAGTAAGAAGGTGCCCAGTAAGAGTGAAAGCTGTTGTTTTCTCCAACTTTTATTTTTGGTTTGGGGGTACATGTGAAGGTTTGTTACATAGGTAGACATGTGTCACAGGGGTTTGTTATACATACTATTTCATCACCCAGGTATTAAGCTTAGTACCCAACAGTTATCTTTTCTGTTACTCGCCATCCTCCCACACCCCTACTCCAGCAGACCCTTGTGTCTGTTGTTTCCTTCCATGTGTTCATAAGTCCTCATCACTTGACTACACTTATAAGTGAGAACATGTAGTATTTGGTTTTCTGTTCTTGCATTAGTATGCTAAGGGTAATAGCCTCCAGCTTCATCCATGTTCCTGCAAAAGAGATGATCTCTTTCTTCTTTATGGCTTCATAGTATTCCTTGGTATGTATGTACCACATCTTCTTTTTCCAGTCTGTCATTGATGAACATTTAGGTTGATTCCATGTATTCACTATTGTGGATAGTGCTGCAGTGAACATTCATATGCATGTGTCCTTATGGTAGAAAGATTTATATTTCTCTGGGTATATGCCCAGTAATGGCAGTGCTAGGTTGAATAGTAGTTCTGCTTTTAGGTCTTTGAAGAATCACCCCAGCTTCTTTACACCATACATGAAGAGCAGCTCAAGATGGATTAAAGACTTAAACGTAAAACCCGAAACTGTGAAAGCTGTTTTAAAAGGGAATGCGGAGTGGAGCAACTTTGGAAAATATTTCTGGCAGTATCCACTAAAGCTAAGTATACACATGACTTTGACCAGAAAATTTAATTCCTTGATATGTACTGAACAGTAATATGTATGTGTTTACCAGGAGATGTGCTGGAATGTGTACAGAACTATTTGCTTGCTCTCATCACTTCCCATCCTCTCTCCTCCTATACCCATACCCATACACCCTACATATTAATTTACTGCATCTCATTGTTACACTTTACCTATAAAGTTGTGTATGCATTTCCTAAGAATAGGGATATCCTCCTAAATAGCCAAAGTACAATGATCAGATTCAGGAAATTTAACATTAATACAATAATATGGTCTAATATGCAATTCTTTTCAAATTTCTCCAATGACCCTAATATCCTTTCAAGCATTATTTTTCCTGGTTCATGATCCAGTCGAAGACCCTGCATTGCATTCAATTGTTCTGCCTTTTTTTTTAAATCTCCTTAAACCTGGATGAGTTCATTATTCATTGTTTCATGACAGTTGTATGTTTGAAAAATTTCAGGATCGTAGAATGTGCTTTAATGTAGATTTGTCTGAATTTTTCCTTATGCTTAAATTTTGGTTATGCATTTTTTATAGGAAAACCACAGAAGTGTTTTGTCCTCTGCATCAAATCAGGGTGCACATAATGTACGTTTATCCCTTTATTGGTGATATTAGCTTTGATTATTTGATTAGATAGTGTCTACCATGTTTCTCCCCTACTATCAGTTTTCCTTGTGTAATAAGTAATATGTAGAGGGATGCGTATTTTTAAACTTTTTCATTCCCAACACATTAGTTGCCATTGCCATTTACTACAGGGAAGAGCTTTCCTTTTTCCATCATTTATGAATATGTATTATCAGTATGAACTAATGAATTCTCCTTTTTCTAATTCAAAAGGTTATGTAACCAATTTCTATCCTAGACTTAACCAGTTGGAACCCCATCAGTCTTACTTCTATGAGTTTTTCAATTTTCTTGAGCATTTGCTTACTCCTCATGTAACAAAAATGTTTTAGATTGATCTGTACTTTCTGTAACCCAGTCCTAGAATCAGCCATTTCTGAAAGGAACCGTATTTCCCTTGCAGGAGAATCTTATTTAGAAATCAGGGGCACTTGTTGCTACTAGGGTGGTATCACTTTACGGCCTTTCAGGAGACAACTTATAGCATGAATTCACACCGATACCACTCCTTGCAATCTCACGCCACAGAGTTCTTGCTTGTCTTCTCTCATTCCATGTTTGTGTCTTCCCCCACAGTAAGGACATCAGTATATTTACTTGTTTGCTTAATTTTATGATACAGACCTTAGAACTTCAGAATTGCCAAACCCATGCCCTCACACCAAAATTCAGTAGAATTTGATATTTCTTAGTTCTTTTATGTCTTTAGACTGAAAGTATTAAATCAAAAAGTATTGTAATCAAAAGTTGGGTATATTTTTTCTTCCTGTGTGGTTATTTTAATAAGATAAAATAGAATTCAATTTATTTGCTTTGTTTGTGTCCAATATTAGTTTTTCTCCTGCTCTTATTTAATTTTACTTTATTGCATGTATAATATTTAAGTTCCCAAAAGTCAAAACCCTATAAAGAGGTATACTCTGAGTCTGGCTCTGTCGCCCAGGCTGGAGTGCAGTGGTGCTGTCTTGGCTCACTGCAAGCTCCGCCTCCCGGGTTCACGCCATTCTCCCGCTGGCACTACAGACGCCCACCACCACACCCGGATAATTTTGTTTTTGTATTTTTAGTAGAGATGGGGTTTCACTGTGTTAGCCAGGATGGTCTTGATCTCTTGACCTCGTGATCCACCCGCCTCGGCCTCCCAAAGTGCTAGGATTAGAGGCGTGAGTCACCGCACCTGGCCATCTATTTCACTTCTTAAAAGATATTCCTTTTCTTTTATAGCTGCATCTATTGTATGCATATGCCATTCTTGATTTGACCATTTCCTATATGTTTTAGGTTGTTTACAGTACTTTAGGTTAGAAACAAGGCACAACACATTATGCATATGTATTTTCATATTGTTTGAGTTGTATATTCCATGGAAATTTTAGGAGTGGGATTTATTAGTCAAAAAGTAAATGCAATGTAATTTTGTTAGATACTGCCTGCCCCACAAATCTGGGCACACAGTATTATTAGATAATCCTTATGGGAATGATAGCTGGTGGATGGATCGCAGTACTCTCAAAACCTCTAGGCTAAGAGGTTGGGTCATAGAGCACATTTTTAAATTAAGTAACAAAAACTGGCTGCGTACTTCTTATACTAAAAGTATATCATAGGTACTGGGAATGAAATTAGAATATTCTAGGAATCCTGTGGGGCATCTACATTAAGGGCCACTTCAGTATGGACTCCATGGTCTCCTGCTCCTCTTATATGCCCTGAACAGTGATGTAATAGAGAAGTTCCCATTGACATAAAATTCTAGTTTACACAGAATTGTTTCTATATCATGTGAGAAACAGCACAGGATTTTCTCTACTTTTTATCAGTTAGTAGCGAACAGAAAAGGAAGTAGAGCTTGGGAAGGGAAAGGAAAAAGCAGAAGGCAAACCAAGAATAGATGCAGCCTCATCTTGCAACACTGTGGGAAGCAAAAAGCCCACGCTCCGAACTTCCCTCCTTGTAGTGTAAGTGGGCAGAGTGATGAGGTGAACTTACACAACTTTAAGTTACGAGATAGAAGGAGTAATAAAGTACAGCACAGAAACCCTCCAAATACCTGATTGAAAGTTTGGAAAAGGAAAATCCT